AGCTTGGAGGAGTGAGGGGTGACTGCTAGCGAGCACAAGGCTTCCTTTGGGGTGATCAGAAGGTTTAGGAAGTGGATACAGGTGGTTGCTGCAGCATCTTCTGGATGGACTAAATACCGGGAATTGTGTACTTGAAATGGTGACTTATAGGCCGTGTGAGTTGCATTTCAATTGAAGAAAAAAAAAGTTAACTTGTGCTATAGTTGGTGATATGGAGACACTGAAACGTCATGTTCGGTCCTTTTGGACTGAATTCCTCGGGCCAGAGAAGCCCTGGAGGGATCTGGAACAGGGATGACGTTGGTCAGAGGGCCCTGAGATCAGTGTCCCGGGGCACCGAACCTACCTGTAGGTGAGGGCCAGGAGCATGGAGCCGTCCACAGGCCGCCGGGTCAGGCAGGTGGCCAGATCTCGGCGGAGCCTCACCCACAGCAGGGGTGGGAAACGGAGCAGCTCCTTGCTGGGTGGCGTCCAGTCCCGGTACACGGCCTGCAGGACCTCATCATCGAGGGACAGAACATCCTTGAGCTCCGCCTCCGAGAGCCCGTGCCTGCGGGGGGGAACAACAGAGTCCTGTGTCCTCTGGGCATGGGGGGTGCAGAAACTGAGGGAAGGTGAGATATAGCTAGCCCTGCTGCATCCTGAGATAAACGTGTGGTGCTCTTTAAAAGGAAACCTTGCACTGTCCCCGTGGGAGGGAGGGGGGGGCACAAATGGTTGGCTCGTAGTTACTAAGTGAGAGGTTAGTAGTGCAAACCCCGCCACCCCTCCGTGCCACCACAGAAGAAAGGCCTGGCAAATCTGCTTCCGCACAAAGTACAGCGAGGAGCAAGGGAGCTCTGGGTGCCTCAGCCAGTTCACACGGAAGCACAAAGCTGTTTCTTGTCCATTCTGCCATGATGCCTGAGGGTGGGGAGTCGATTCTGACTCCTGGGGACCCCATGTCTGTCCGAGCACAACTGATCCGTGGCCTTTCTCTGGGAGATTTTCCCAGAAGCAGATCTGTCGTCTGGGGCACCTGTGGGTGGATTTGAGCCACAAGCCTTCTGGCTTGTTTGTACCACCCAGGGAGTCCACGAATTGCCAAGTGGCCCTGCAGGCTCGCTCCTGGGTGTGTCCCCCCAAAGAAGTGTAAAAAGCTGACTCCCTGCCATTGAGTGGGTTCCGACCCGACATGACAGGGTGGAACTGCCCCCATGGATTTTTCTGAGAGGAACTTTTATGGGGGCAGAAAGCCCTGTCTTCCTCCCATGGAGGTGCTGGTAGTTTTGAACTGCCAGCCTCGGGGATCACAGACCAAATGAATAACCACTACACCACCAGAGCTCCTCAAAGAAGTACAGGCAGGGACTCAAACAAAGCCTGCACACCCATGTCCGCAGCAGTATTGATCACAACGGCTGGAAGGCAAAAACAACCCAAGTGTCCATCTAGAAGCCAAGGGAGGGAGAGATGTGGGCTGGCCCTCGACATCCACCATGCCTGAGAATCAGCATTTAGACAGTGCCCAGGTCCCACTGGCTCCGATGCCCAGGTAGAGTAAAACCTTCTTGGGTCTTTGCATCTGCTTACCCATCCCCGCAGGATAGTGAGCCACCTCCTGCCAGCCACAGAGAGTGACTGGACAGTAAGACAGAACCCTGCTGTGCTGACCCCGCCCCTGCCTGGCCTGAGAAAGAGCTGCATGCGGGAGAGCAACACAGTGCCTTTCAGTAGAGCGAAGATCATAGTTGTTTAGAGCTGTCGGAACAGACATAGCAAGCACAGGTGTTTAAAGAACAGGAGCTTCGTGACTCACAGTTCCAGGGGTCGGAAGACCAAACCAGGGTCTCAGCCTTGCTGTTTCCATGTGGGTGGGTAGTCCTGGGTGTTCTGGGCTCCTGGGCAGGTAGACAGTCCTCACTCCATGACTGTCTTCTCCCGGTGACTGTGTGTGTGAGTATCTCTGTGTGTGCTCTTTTTATTAACTCGGAAGTGATTAGATCTAGGACCCATCCTCCACTGACAGGGTCCCATGGACACCCAGACAGAGGGGCCAGGATTCTAAAGCATTCACAATAACGAGTGGTTGAAATTCAGATGTTGGACTGGAGTGGATTTTCTAGTATCTGTGATTATTAGAGGAGCCTTGGTGGTGCGGTGGTTACGCATTGGGCCGTTCACTGCAAGGTCAGCAGTTCAAAACCACCAACTGCTCCTCGAGAGAAAGACGAGGCTTTCTACTCCCATAGAGAGTTATTATCTCAGCACTCCACAGGGCCTCCTACCTGTCCTATAGGGTCACTATGAATCAGGATCAACTCAATGGCAAGGAGTCTGGGTTTCAGTTTGTTCCGATTTGGGGGGGTATGGGGATTAGGCAGGAAGTACAGAATCTGCCTCAGGGTCTGTCTGGGGCCAGAGCAGTTCCAGGGAGGCCGTTTCAGAGCAGGGAGAGTGAGGCTGTTTCCGATGTGCACCTGAGGGAGCCCAACTCAGTCAGGTGTAGGTGCGTGTGCACAGTGAGTGTCTGTGGAGCGTTGTCTGTGACAGATGCCGTGCTGACCCTTGGGGACAGAGAGGCCACTCAGACCAGACACAGCAGGAACTGAACACAAGGAAGGAAGAAAAGAAAACAGATGGCGGGTAGTGACAGAGCGTGGTGAGGTGAGGAGCCAGCCGGGACAGAGATTGTTCTTAGAGCAGGTGGACTTGTGTCTGAGAAGGTGTCCCCGCCGCTGGCCGTTGACAGGCGGAAGCTTGTCAGACTGGGCTCCTCCCTGGTGGCCCACCGCCCTCCTGAATGACACTGGCACAGACCTAAGGGCCCAGGAAGAGAGAATGGCCCCCAAGCCGAGGACAGCCACCTTGTTCAGCATATCTAACAACCCTCCTGAGTGAGATGTGAGCATGAAGGCACAACTATTTTGCTTGGCACCGCTGCTAATTGGCCTCCGGCAGGCCCTCCTGGGGGCTGGAGCATGGCTGCCCCGGGGCCTGATTAACGCTGGCTGGCACAGAGGCTGGTTATTTCTGACTAGCTGGGGCGCGAGGCTCTGCATGGCCTCCCAGGCAGGGGGCTTGGTTGGGGTTGGTCCTTTGAGCGATCCCTCCCGACAGTCACAGCCCAGACCGCAGGCATTGACAAGCTGCACCTTTACTGTTTCTGTTGGGTTTCCCAGTGCGTGAAGCACAAAAGGAGTGGGTGCACAGAGGCAATAACTGATGCAGGGTTTGTAGGGGATATAGGGGTGAGTCGGGGGGCGATGGGGAGAGTAAAGGGATTCTAGGAGTAACAATGAAGGTGGGAGCGGGGAGAGAGCACTAGAACTCATGATGATCACACAACTCATTTTAAAGGCTATTTAACCATGGGGGGGGCGGGGGGAGCGCGTTTCTAGAATTGACTGTGCTGATGATGGTACAATTCTTCTTGATATAATTGAACGATTGAACCATTAAATTGTATGATATATGAATTAGGTGCGAATAAAAATGTAAAAGAAAAATCATTTCCAGGCCCTCCTTATAAAATGTATGCTTGAACACACACACACACACACACACACACACACACACACATGAGTGCCAGTCTGGGAACCCACAGGAGCATCCCCCCTGTCCTGTAGGATCACTGTGAGTCGGCATGGACTCGGTGGCAGTGAGTGTCTTTTGAACATCTGGAAAGTCACGTAATTGGTACCAACGATTGGCACTCTCACTGAAAGGTTGATGATTCAAACCCATCTAGTGGGTCTATGGAAGAAAGCCCTTTATTGTAGCCAAGAGAACCTATGGGCCACTGTCCCCCTGTAACACTCGACAACAGTGAACTTGGTTTGGGGGGTGGGGGGGGGCGGGTAGGGAGGGAGTGAGAGATCAGAGAAAAACCTAACAACACAATTTGTGGTTCAGGTTCTCGGTCGAGGACAGTTCTGTCCCAGGGGACATGGGCGATTGATGTCTAGAGATCTTTGTGGGTACCTCCCCTAAGGGGCAGGGGCATTACGGGTATCACAAAGGTGGAGACCAGGGATGCTGCTCAGCACCCCACGGCACACACAGGACGCCCCACTGCAGAGGACGATCCGCCCTCCAGCACCCAGAGGACTTGGGCTGGGAAACCCTGGGGGCAGAACTTGTTTCCACCCCTCTCGCCATCTTGCGTGGTATTTGTTTCAAAAGCAGAAGAAACGTGTCCCTTACTTTGTCCTGTGACAATGTTGGACAACGGCATTAAACAAACAAACAATGAAAGACTGATTCAGGCCTGTAATCTGAGGGGCTGGGAGGGGGGAGGGTAGCTGCTTCCCCACAATGCATTCCCAGGCCTTTCCTCCAAGGTACCTCTGGGCAGACTCGAATGGCCAACCTCCCTATTAGCAGCTGAGCACCACCGGGGGGCTCACTGAAGCCTCCCGACTGCAGAGCTCCGGGGCGGAGGCCTCCCAGGAACTCAGACATGACTTGTGCTAGTCCTTCTTGAATGAGAAAAAAAGAGAAACTCACCGGGAAGCCACGATGTAGCCCAGCACATGGGCCACCAGGAGCTGGCCGTGCGTCTGTTCCAGGCGGCTGCACAGCTGGTGCGTGGCCTCCTGGGCCGTGGAGGCCAGAGGGGCGGGCACGGAGTAGGAGGCCCACTTCCTGGCCTCCTCGAAGGCCAGGCGCAGGCGGCCGGGGTGCCCGCACTCGGGCAGGCTGGCCCACAGCAGGTCACGCTGGGCCTGGCTCAGGGTCCTCCTGGCGGCTGCCAGCAGGAGCTCTATCATCTCCCGCCCTTGGTTGGCAGAGAGGGGCTTCACCTCCCAGTAGGCCCCAGGGTCCTGGACGGTCCGACGCACGGAGTCGAGCACCCCGTGCTGCTGCCCCGAGCAGGCCGAGAGGATGAGGTGGACCCTCGGGGGGCACAGCGGGGGTAGCCAGGGGATCCTGCGGGCATGGTGGACAGCAGTGTCCAGGTCATCCAGAGAGTCCAGGAGGATGACGAGGGCCTCGAAGTTTCGGTGGGACACAGTGTGGAGCAGGTGGTGGAAGAACTGGACCACCCTGCTCTGGGCCTCCAGGACCTGGGCGGGTGGCAGCGGCAGCCCAAAGGCCAGGCACACCTGGAAGCAGACACTCCGGAGCAGGCCACAAGCATCTGAGCTCACCTGAGAGGTCCCCAGGAGCCGGAGGACGGTGACTGTCTTGTGGCCCAGCAGCCCGGGCACTTGCTCGGCCAGCTTACACATCAGCGCCGTCTTTCCGATGCCCGGGGGGCCGCAGAGCACCAGGGGGCTGTGGGGGGCATTGTGGCTCTGCCGGAGCTGCTGCCCGAGCTGGGCCAGTAGCTCCCGGCGGCCGCAGAAGGTGTGAGTGGCCTCTGCACCCTGGCTCAGGTGGTGGCGGATGTCCTGGTACAGCCAGTCCAGGTCCTGCGGGGCCGCCTCCAACTCCCGGAGACGCTCCAGCACCTGGTGGTTGGCCCGGGCCACAAACTGCTCCCCGAGCTCCTTCAGGTACCTGGCGTGGGCCTTGTTCTTGGGGTTCACCAGGTCACGGCTCCACGGCAGGTGGTGGGTCTTGAGGGCGCTGGGGTGCTCTTCGGTGATACGCCCCTTGAGGCTGCTGAGCAGGCTCTGGGCGTCGGTGTCCAGGCAGCCATCCGGCAGCCTGTCCACCAGCCGCAGCCCACAGTCATCCAGGATGTGCTTGTTGAGGTCCTGGATCTCCCGCAGGAAGACGGTGGCACCCTGGTCCCCGTCCTTGGGACTCAGCAGGCCGCGCTCCATCTCCCACGCCATGACTGCAAAGGGAGGGGCGAAAGGTGAAAAGATGCTCGCCCCACCACTCCGTGGAGCCAATCCTCTTCAAACAAAACCACCCAAACTCACTGCATGGAGTGGATCCCGCCTCCCAGCGATCCTACAGGACAGGGTGGAACTGCCCCGGTGGTTTTCCGAGATTGTCAAGCTTACAGGAGTAGAAAGTCTCATCTTGCTCCTGAGGAGCAGCCGGCGGGTGTGAACTACTGACTTCAGTTAAGAGCCCAACGGGAAACCCACAACAGGACCGGGGTTTCTGGTCAGCCCCCTTCCAAACCCAAATCAAACTCACTGCCGTCGCCGTCAAGTCCCCGCTGACTCGGTGACCCTAACGGACAGGGTAGAACTGTCCCTGCGAGCGTCTGAGACTGTTATCTTTGTGGGAGTAGAAAGCCTCCTCTTTATCCCTCGGAGCGGCCGGTGGTTTTGAACCGCTGACCTTGTGGATCGCAACCCAACCCATCACCACTACACCTGCAGGGCTCCCCGTTATATAGTCCTTAAAAAACAGCTGTGGTCAGGTCAGTTCTGCCTCCTGGTGGCCCCGGTGTGTCTGCATCGAAGTGTGCACCACGGGGTTCTCAGCAGCTGGTTTCTCAATCGCAGGGTGCCAGGACTTTCTTCTGACGCACCTACGGGTGAACGCGATCCCCCATGTTTCTGTTAGCAGCTGAAGGAGCCATGAAAGGAGCACTGTGTCTAGAGTCTTGTATCTGTCTAGGACAGCACGCAAACGTCTGTCCTAGTTGGTTCTCATAAACGGCATCCTTACTGCAAACAGTGGGATGAATTTGTGGAAACAGCTGCACACAGTATTTCCCTAGTAGAAATGTTAACATCGATATGGGCCAAGATACGGAATTCACTCTCAAGGCTATGAGAAATTCAAATATGAGAATAGCAAACTTGTCTGGGAACACGGCCAGTATTTAGTAGATAAATAATAAAGCACTGCAGGCTGTCAGCAGTTTTGTACCATCTCTGTCTGTGTCTAAGGGGTGCTGCAGCCCTGTAGTGTCTGTCTGCGTATGTATGTCCGTTTGGTTCCATGTTCTTTTCCCTGCTCCAGAAACCACCCCCATCAGCAGCCGTGCTTTCGCCGCCTTGGCACAGCCCAGGGACTCCCCATTAAGGAGCTCCGGTGGTGCCGTCAGGTAAGCGTTGTATTGCGAACCGCAGGGCTGGCTATTCAAACCCATCAGCCTCTCCTAGAGAGAAAGCTGAGGCTCCTTTTTCCTATAAAGAGGTTTGGCCTCGGAAACCCTATACAGGGGCTCTGTGTAGCCTGAACTGACTCTTCCCCCAGCCATGAAAAGGCGTGACCAGGGGGCGGCAGATGAGTGAGGTCTTGCCATTAGTGATGAGCCCGCTGCCCTCTCATCGATCCCACCCATAGCAGCCCGTGGCAGAGAGTAGAATGGAGTGGGGTTTTAGGAGCAGGGGGCCACGTGTTCCCCCAGTTGGCTCTGGCTCACAGCGACCTTTTGTAGAACAGGATGAATCACGGCCCAGCCCTGTGCCACCCTCAAGATCACTGCTATGCGTGAGCCTCTTGCTGCCACCACGGTGCCGATGCATCTTAGGGAGGTTTACCCTCTTTCTCGGACCCTCCGGCCTGAGGTCCTTCTCTAAGGACTGTCCTTCCTGATAACAGGGTCAAAGTCAGTCTCGCCATCCTCACTTCTAAGGAGCATCCTGGCTGAGCTTCTTCTCAGACAGGCCTGCTTGTTCCTCTGGAGTTCTTAGGGGCCCTCAAGTCAGCTCCGGCTCTGTGGACCCCAAGCAAGCAGAGTGAAACACTGCCCCATCCGTGGGAAACAGAACCGCAAAGAGAGTGTCGACAAGTTCTCTACACTCCAATTTTAAGGAGCTGGGGAAGCCGAGACCCTCGTGGAGGGAGGCCTTCATGTTCCTGAGTTGGAGATGAATCCCAGTCACATTCTCCTGACTACACTAAAAGTGACTCCCCACCGTGACTCCCCACCTGTCCATCTTGTTACACAGGTACCTTCCTGTTAGATGTGTGTCCCTAGCACATCCGCTACCTGCTGCGTGTATGTCTCTCACATACCCTCTTCCTGTCACATAGCGTTTGACTGTAGGACGTGGCCGGCACACCTGAGATTATACCAGCCTGTGAGAGAATGCCATCCTCCTCTCTCTGGTTCCAGATTCCATGGACAAGACGAGCCCTTGCATCCTTGTCTGATGTTTCTTGAATTGACCCTTCCATTACAGCTTCAGTATGAATTACACTCGTCAACTCTTTCTGAAAACAGAGGTTCTCACCACTGGACAGATAAGTAGTATCATGACAAACAGAAATATTGAAGCAGCAAAGGATCTCACTTTTGGGGGGGTTCACAACCTATGTCCACTGAAGCAGCAGTCAACAAATCCAACGGACAAGACCTTTTTTGTGGGAAACAGAAGGATTTCTCCCAAGTTGTCTCCCCCAAATATACGCCAAACTTAGCTGCTTGCGAATGACTGCACCCTTGGAGGTCATCAGAAGTAGATCAGGGGTTATTCTCCCTAAGGGTTATCAGCCATCCAGAGCAAGCAGTCACCACTGTTTACCCCACAACAATAGGGCCCACTCCCTTCTGATAAGGTTAGTAGTTGACTGTTTCCTTGTAGGAGGCACCAGAGAGGTCAAGCCCACCCAAGGGTGGCCAAGGTTAGGCCGCCATCATGAATCTAAGGTCCGCCCATCTTGTCACATGTATATCCCTAGTCCCTCCCATTCCTATGGGCACAGCCCTAGCTCCTCCCCTTCCTGTCACGCTTATGCCTATCACACATCCCTTTCCTAGGATGTGTATGCCTATTGTACTGCCCCTTCCTGTGACGTGTGGTTACCTGTAATCATGCCCCCCTAAAGAGATATAACGCTTGGTTAGCAATAAAGTTGGGGCTCTCCTGCTCTCACGCCCAGGCTCTCCCCACAAGGACCACGAAGCGGGGCTGAGGTGAGCATGCTACCATGAATTGTGTCTGACTCCATTAATTCAATCTCTCTTCTACCTCTCATGCTCTCTATGACGTTACTATAATCTTTACTTATTATCGCTGTACAATTGCGCCTACTGGACTTGTGATGATTTGTTAGGGGCCCTCCTTTCCCCGCACTTTTTAAAAAGTATTAAAGATCACAGATGTCGCAATCCAGGACTGAGATATACCTGGCCCAAGCCAGTCCTTTCGACGGCCTCCTGTGCCCGTGAGCGCGAGACACTGACAAAGAGACCAAAGAATTGATGCCTTTGAATTCTGGGGTTGGTGAAGAATTTGGAAGGTAGCACAGGCGACCACAAGAACAAACAAGTCTGTCTTGGGAGAAGGATCGGAACATGATTTCGTGATGGGTAACAGAGTCAGAACACATGAAGACCCCCAGTCGCTGCAGCAATGGAACCAAACGTAAGAGCAATTGGGAGGACGCTGCGGCGCGGGGCAGTGTTCCGTCCTGTTGGGCGCAGAATGGCTTTGAGCTGGGACGGACTCAACAAGACCTAACCTCAACAACAACAGGGTCACAGGGTCAACAGCACAGCCTCTTCAGAGGCTATTATTTTGAAGTAGCAGTCAGGCCCAAGAAGTTATTTTCGAAGCAGCTCTGGGCTCAGGGGCGGCTCCCAGCTCTCTGCGGTGAAGCAAGCCAGACCCTGGGGGACCAGCGGAGCCGCAGCACCAACAAGAGTCACTCATGAGTCCTCTAAGGAGCCGACACACACCCCTTCATCCCCGGGAAGGTAATTAACAAGCCCAAGACCGATCCTTCTCGGACGCATTTGGGCGTGAATCCACCCGAGCCCGGCTGTCGGGCTGTGAGACCTCGGGCCAGTCACTGCACCTCTTGAGTCTCCAGTCACATTCACTGCCAGCGGGTCAAGGCTAGTCATGCGACCCCCTGTTGGTTTCTGACACTGGCTGTGGACAGGAGCGGAAAGCCCACTCTTTCTCCCTCG